TAAAATAAAAGTGTACAAATATGTCACAATGCTGACTGTTGACAAGTTACCTAGGGCCAGGCTATACTATATAGCGTACAACTGTAATAAGGCTGTGTATAATATGTAATAATATTAAGACTTGTGTGTTGTAAAACAAAACGTTCTTGGTATCTTAGAGAATAGCACGATAATTACATATCAAGACCGCGGAACATATTTGCCGTTTTAGATCTTGGCAGTATAAAAGTCCGGCTTCAAAGGCGTAAGTTTTCTATAGGTAATAATAAAGAAACTGACTTATGAAGTTATATAATTATACCGCCTTTCCCTATAGGCCCTAGTGCGCACATGAATCTGGTACAAACGTTTTCACCAACGTATATATCAAATGTATATATTATTCCAAAAACAATAGCTGCATTAACACCATTGTCTAATAGCTAATCTACGGAACCTATGCCCGCGCCTGCGTTGTGAGGCAAAGAATAATATAAGACTCCTTTTAAGCTTCCACTGGTTAAGAAAAGATGGGACATCTTCATAACCTGTCAGCAAAAGATGCGACATCTTTCCGACACAAGAGTTTTCACTAAAAGTATTCTGGATATTATTCCAAAACCTAGCGCTATCGCCGCATGCGCCGCTTTACTCTAACTTAGCGTGGTGTAAAGAATAATATTATAGACTCCTTTTAAGCTTCCGCTGGTTAAGAAAAGATGGGACATCTTCATAACCTGTCAGCAAAAGATGGGACATCTTTCTGACACAAGAGTTTTCACTAAAAGTATTCTAGATATTATTCCAAAACCTAGCGCTGTCGATGTGGCATCCTCCAAATTTGATATTTCAACTATACTCTATAGGTATAGTCACAAAAATATTGGATATTGTCAAATCTGAAAGCCAGGGGTACGGCTCATCTCCGCGTTTACTCATCACTAGCTCGCCCGGCAAATAATCTGGCGATGCCCGGCGTAATGTCTAATGAGAATGATATCAAATTTAGTTCAATGGGCCATTTTAGACTAATTTTCGATTCTTTTGAAAATGCTTACGCAAGTTTAATTTGAACGCTGATATCTCAGTCAATATTTCGTGATATCTCATGTATAACCTATCAAAATTTAAGTTAGCCTTTTATGAATACAGCTACATTTATTTGAGCGATGTATAGCTCTTATAGTTTTTTCGCTATGGTAGATCAAACGCCTGAACTTTTTTTGCTCCACCCGGTATATATATGTAAATAAATATTATTTGTCTTGAGCTACCTTGTATCAAAATATAGAAATGAGTATATTAAATAACGAATATAGTACAATCAACTCGCGGTTGTGATAGCCCTGCTTGAAAGCCGTGGTATCTAGCATACTGTATACTAAAGAAATAATAACTGATGCGTGCTGCAATACCTATTTGCTAGAAATAATAACTGATGCGTGCTGCAATACCTATAGGCTATAGCCTTTTGACTATTACCTAACCTTACTGATTGAAAATACTTCGCATTAATCTTTAATCTTTATTCTTTAATAAGCAGCCATCAAAATATTGCCAGTTTGTTCGATCTTGATCTCCATCCTGAATCCATACACACGATTGTCAAGCACAATGCACTCTTCTTCAGACCATTTTGGCGCAATTTGAACTTTGCGCGGCATTGTCTGCTAACATTATTATGAATTGGTGATGACAACCTGGTTTGTATGTTAGCTCAGTTAGTTATTTGCTACATCATATCTATGGGGTTAAATTTCATGCACGCATAAATTATTTCACTATAAATTTATTATACATGTCCCCACTCTTACCACCTCGACTAATAATGCTGTGGTAACTAACACCTTCAAGATAATTCAATTTATAGGCGTGCGGGTCGTCATGCGAGAAGTTTGAATTTATGTCTTACTTTGTATTATTATTTTACAAATGCTTACACTTCTGAGCTGTGGACATATGACTGTTTATTCACATCCCCATCAACAAATGAGCAACAAATGAGCGGGTGTATATGAATTCGAACTCGTTTGCATATGTTCAAATTTTTAAAAAATCTTCAAATTTTGAAATATCGAAAGGTCGATTCCTTTACACATGCGTTCAAAACTTCAAAAACCCAACGGTAAATTTAATCTTACTCGCCTGTAGGCGCGAGCAGTTTTTAACGTTATTAATATATATAGAGATTCTGAAATTTTCCTTAGACCTACCGGTAGTATATGGCAGGAGTGGAGCAAGTGAAAGCTAACATGGAAGTCAGTTTGTTTTTCTTTTTATTCATTCGTTTTGCCTTCTAATACCTTGTCAACACTTGAGTTCTCTCAAGAATATGACACGCAAATGTTTAGGCACAATATATTTTCTTGAAGTTGCATCTTGCTTGAATTTACTGCAGCTGTCACCGAGACAAACATCACAAAGAATAATTTATCCAAAAAAGGAACTCAAACATTGTGAAAGGTAATATTGAAATCTTATCTTTTAGGCGTTAAATGTCTTAGCGTGTGTGGAATTAGAAATGTGTTATTTCCTGAAAAAAGAGAATATTTTCTGTATATCATATATACAATACAAAAATACATATTGTGAAACGAGCTTTGTTCGTCATGAATTTATAGCGTTTAGCCTAACGGTTCTTTCTTCAGTGGAGTTTGTTCAGCAGATCGACGGAAGTCCTTTTAAGATAAAAAATCATTCGTTTCTCAATAAGAGCCTTAACCTGTCGAAATGTATGCCCAATGTTGAAATGTCTCAGGAGCATTAATATTACTAGAAATGCTTGATAAAGGATTTAATGATCATGATCCTTTTTTACATCGGCAAGTCGATCAATTATATCTTAGCACCTTTTGTCCGAAGTAAAAGACAGTTTACCCATTCTGAAGTTAATCAAGGAAAAGGAATCGCAAGAACGAGAATTTATGTAGAAAGAGTAATGCGTAGATTAAAAGAATTTAGGATTCCAAAGAACATTTTATCATTAATAATGATTGATTTGAGTAATCAGACATGGGTATAGTAGCTGGTGCTATTGTAAATATGCAGCCCGCCATTAATAAAATAAAATGTACACTAATAATGAATGAACACTGTACGTGTTAAATTTAATTAATGATTAATTGTACGTAAAAATCAGATGCTGTCCACTAAACTACACTAATTAAACTAAAACTAACCTTATTTGTATTAAAAATAATCTTATTTATTATGGATAGTGTAACTCTATCAGTTCTAAAATGTTCACGGTCTAATGTTGCTGCTGTTTGGTTTAGTCAGACTGGAAGCATTCTTCTCACATGTGCCTGAGGTGAAATTATAAGCACAAAAATGCATATTTCAGGAATGTCGAGGTGGAAGATATGACACTTACAGAGGTTAATCAAAAAGAACATACATTAGCGTACATACACTAACCACCCCATTCAGTTCATACATTATACTGGATAGGGCCTACGCATACTGTAGGGGCAGAACCAGGGTTGGTCATGAAACTTTCAGTATGCATTGGTTGATGCTGATCTTCTCCTGGGGGAGGTGGGGGAGTAACACGTTTATCTATTAAACACAGCAGGACCTTCAGGAATAACTCGCAACACATCATATAGGTAAATTAGAACATAGGTTAGATATACTAACTGTGATATAATCAACTGCCTAAACATTGCAAATTACAATAAACAGAGAAATCCTATACTGTATATAATTTAGTCATGCACACTGGAAATTATGGAAAACGTGGTTGATATATACTTGTCAAATATTATACCAGTCTTGCAAATGAATTTCTAAATTAAACAGTTGAAATTATTATTTGTCAGTCAGTCCATTCAGGAATTATTAAGCTTCAAATTTTTTATTGGTACATGCACAGTACTGGAACATATATTCATACATGTTACATTATTTAACATCTTTTGTACTTTTCGACATCCACACTTGTTATTAGAGTAATTAAAAATGCTTTCAAATAATGTAATAAAGTTGCTTTTACCAAAATGCGTGGCTGATTCTTTCCTTGGAAAATTCTAAATTTTATTTGAAACCTACGGTAGGTCTTTATTTTATATTAAATTAAATAAAACTTCTAAATTGCATTAGAATATTATATCGTTTAAATTATTTATCATAGCCATGCCACAGCAAGCTCTCTTTAATGTCGAAAATCGTCAGCCACTAAGACTAGTCAGCAGTGTACAAAACTTTCTCTCATGTAATGATAATTTTTGGATTGAATCAGTAAGTTTTTTATTGTGCAGAGTAAATAAAAGTTAATCCGCGTGTTTGAATTTATGCGTTTGTATTATTATTTTACAAATGCGCGCTTACTCTTCGGAGCTGTGGATACGGTCAAAGACCACTTATTGAACATATGGCTGTTTATTCACATCCCATCAAGAATAAATGAGCGGACGTATATGAACGCGAACTTGTTTGCATATAATCAGTTATATGTTCAAATTTTTAAAAAATCTTCAAATTTTGAAATATCGAAAGGTCGATTTCTTGATGAATTACACATCCGCTCAGAACTTCAAAAAACCAACGGAAATTTAAAGGCAGGAGCGTTTTTTTGTTGTTATTCATATATCATCTAAATTTAAATTGCATCTAAATTTAAATTGTATATATCCTGAAATATTCCATAGACATACCGGTAGTAGCCTACATGGCAAGAGTATATAGCAAGTGAAAGCAAACATTGAAATGAATTTGTATTTCTTTTTATTCATTCTTTTTGCCTTCTAATACCGCAAAATAGCGTACGTGTTTTCGGCAAATGACAGCTGTGTGAGCTGTCGGCACGATATTGACCTGTTGGGATAATCATTGTGATAAACTGTGAGACATGAACAGAGTTTCAATAACATTTGTTGCGTTTACTTTGAGCCTGATAGTTGATCGCAGGCTGTTGAACCTGTTCACAGGCTAAGCACGTGCGATTCGCTTTTGCATACGGGAATTATAGTATAAAAAACAATAAGTTTCATATTCTTTCGATCGAACGTGTATTATTTATATTATATTCGATTATCCTCTCCCGTTTGCGAATCCTGTATTAAATTGTCCTTATTCAACTCCGGTAAATTGCTTTGGTTTATAGCAACAGAATCTCTTGATACGTTTCTCGATTCCCCCAGCTCCAAAGACTTCTCCAGCGTTGCAGCTTGATCACGCAAATTCTGGCTTGAGAAGCCAAAATCATTATATCCTTTCGCATCCCATAGCTCCTTCATGAGTTTAATATAGCCTACAATAATAATAATAATAATAATAATAATAATAATAATAATAATAATAATAATAATAATAATAATAATAATAATAATAATAATAATAATAATAATAATGAATAATAATAATAATGAATAATAATAATAATAATAATAATAATAATGGAAACTTTATTAAAATTATATACGTATATATACAATTATAAATCTCACTAATTTAGGTAATTTATAATTGACTACTTGAACCTACTTAATATTTATATATTAATAATGAGTATCCTTAAATGTTCAGTAATTCCGGATTTAACCAGCCCTTATCTCTGCAACAAAATATATAATATGTTGTCCTAATCGCGATAGACATAATTTTCCTGATAGCGAAATATTGGTGTCTTTTATCAAGACCTAGATCAGTTAACATATCTAAAAAGGAATGACATTCTTTTGAGAAAACGCCTAAAGAACTAATTGACAAATTTACAAATTTTACGGACTTAAATTGTTTCTTTTGCTGTGTAATGAGATCTTCGTATCTTCTTCTTTTCCGATCAACATTTGTTTGTAGATTAGACTCATAACCAACAGAAAGTTCAAGGATATATAAGAGACAATCCGAGTTGATAGATAGAAGTAGGTCTGGGCGGAATGTGTCACCAGTTACAATTGATGGGCTCTTGTAACCAGGAAGATCGACGAAAAGATTGGAGTTGTTTACAGGTTGTAGGGTTTGTGCGATGAAGCTCAGGAAAGAATCATGTCTCCATGTAAATCGTGGGAGGTACGCTTGACATCCAGCGACTACGTGTAAAAGGGTTTCAGGGTTTAAGCAGAAGGAGCAATCAAAGTTGGACAATATTCCCCATTTAGTAAGGTTTTTACGAGTTGGAAGTGAGTTATTGATGTAACGGATGGTAAAATTATAGATGTTCTTTGGGAGGTTTGATTGGGATTTAGACCATATGCCATTTAATTTCGACAGCGAAAAGTTAATGACATTTGAAAAGAAGGAGCCTTGCAAAATCAGATGATTCTGCAGTTTGCCTTCTTGTCCGGAGGTAAAACTTTTAAGGACTTCCTTTGTCGAGGTGTAAACATCGTACTGAATGTTTTTATTTTCAGATGTTGTTTTCCAGAGATCTTTTATGGAATGATTTGGAGAGGTCTTTAAGGCGTTACGAGCAACTGTTTGGCACTGAACAAACTTAATTGACGGCGGGTAGATATTTAGACCAAACTTGTTACTGGTAAGGTAGACGTTAGATAAAGTTCCTGATATAGGTATTTCAAGCCATTTACGTACGTACTTGTTCACCACAGAATCCATATTTTCAGAGACCCAGGTTTTTGATAAGGTGGTTACAGTAAAATGCCAGGAAAGTTTGGATAGGAGGTAACGGCTATAAAGCAAAAGTTTATTTTTCGGGTGCAAAGGTTTGAGATCAATTTCAGACATAATGTCGTCCATGAGAGTAACTAGCTCTTGTTTGTGTTCTTTTTCGGACATACTGAAGTCAAAATATTTCCCCAAGTATCGAAACGACTCTCCAATTTTAGTGGCAGGTATCAATTCATTGTTAATCAGAAGTTTAGGTAAATATTGGATAGATTTTGTTAGACTTTTCCTAATCCCAAATGTTGAACACTTATCAACCCTGACAATCATGTTAGACCACTGGCACCAGATCGAGAATCGATTTAAAAGATGTTGATTTTCTGAATCTTGACCGCTTATTACCGCAGCATCATCAGCGAACTGGAACCAATGGACTGGGTTTAAAAGATTTGTAATGAAACCAAATTGCCGGTATTTGTCAGTTTTTATATGTTGAATAAAGGTATTGACGCACATGTTAAAAATTAGAGGACTAAGACAGTCTCCTTGAAGAACTCCGCGACCGACAGTTATAAATGGGGTAGAGAATTCTGATGTTATAAATGCAGTATTGAAGTCCGTATACAAGCTCTTTATTATTTCACAAACGTCTTTGGGAATGTGATGATAGTCGAGGACAGATTGAATTAGATTATGATGCACTTCACCAAAAGCATTCTTGAGATCAAGAAGGGTGATGACAACAGAGCGCTGCTTTATTCTCGCTTTGTTGAGAATATTTGTCATTTGAGCAGTGTATTCCAAAGTGCCAGACAGATTGGGAGTGAAACCTTTTTGAATCTGATGTTCAATAAAGTTATTAGCAGTTAGGAACGAGAACATAGCATTGCGGAGACATGAGGTAAACACTTTTAGTGGTATAGTTTCTAGAGTAATTGGGCGGAAATTGGAGGGGTCACTTGTATTGCCTTTTTTGTGGATAAGAATAGAACACGCTTTTTTCCATTCAGCTGGTACAGATTTCGAAGACCAGACGCTACGTATCACTTCGGTTAGATAAGTGCGCAAAAATGGACAACGTTTGAAGCAAATTATTGAAAGTTGATCTAGAGGACAAGGCGATCCAGAAGCTTTCATTCTGCGAATAATATTTGTAACTTGGCGATATGTTGGGGGTTGAAGTTCAAAGTTTACGATAGGATCGGATAACTTTGGAATCCAGCTTGGAATATAAAACAGTTTGTTTGGGTTAATTGAACATAGAGTTTTCTTGAAATAGTTTAGGCATTCTGACATTGGAAATCATGGAAGTAGGCAAGTGTTCTTATTCAGGACGTTCTTAACGTAACCCCAGAAATTTCTACTAATGTAATTGTCGTGATTGAACGTTTTGTTTTGGTTTTGAGTTGTATTGATTTGACAAGCATTTATACGCAACTTATCACGCAATGTGCGAGCTACATATTTGATTTCGTGAGGATCAGCGTTCGATGGCTTTAGTTGTTTTAGACATTTCTTTAAGGCTTTTACTGTTTGATCTTTATACTTATTCACTAGCTCTTTATCCGGCATCTTCTCAACATAACCGAAGTTATCAGCGAAATAGTTGTAGACAACGTCATTCATTAGCGTAATGCTTGAGCTTAGATCTTCAATTCTGATTGGCGCATTTAGTCGCAATTCAAATTTGAAATAGCTGTCAGCGTTGACCATTCTGCGTCGCTTTTGGGAAGCTTTACCCCTTTCTTCAACACTGGAAAATTCTGATCGCTCGCAATATTTTCCATTACATCAATTTCCTCAAATGTACAATGAGTAGAAGTATTCGTAGTCGAGTTCTCAGTAGATTGCTGTTCAAGGTCTGTAAGCAATTCATCATTTAAACCATGTATTACACGACAACTACGTTGGTGCATTTTAAGCCCCCGCGTACCTTTACATGATTTACCACAATAACACTTTACGTCGTTGGTGTTTGATATTCTGACAGGAGAATGCATAACCGGCATATTTTGATTGACTGTGTTAGCAGGACGATCTTGATTTATTTTTTCTTTGCAACGCCATGAATGACGGCCGAGCGTAACGAACTCTTTGCCACAGAACGAGCAAACAGCGCAAATGGCCAACATAGCAACAAGGCTTGAACGAATCATGATTTAGATCCTAGCAAATCCGATAGTTACAATATTTTTGATTGATAAACTGTGGTTCAAGTAAGAAAATAGCGATAAAACGAACAACATGTACAGAGCGCGTATAAACAATGCTGCTGCTAATAATAATAATAATAATAATAATAATAATAATAATAATGAAAACTTTATTAATAGAACATTTATAGATATATACAATTGTAAATCTCACTTCTTGAGGTAACCTACAATTGACAACTTGAATCACTTATACATGCATGGTTATAATTTTATATACAAAAATTGTTGATTATTTATAGAAATAGTTACTTTAAATGTTCATTAGTTCGGGAGTAGTCCATTCCTTATTTCTACAGCAAAGTATGTAGTACGTTGATCGGATGGCAATAGATATAATTTTTCTGATACAATATTGTTGGTGTTGATTACCCAGTCCTAACTCATTTAGCATTTTTACGAATGTATGACATCCTTTGTCAAACACCCCTAGCGAACTGACAGAAAGATTTATAAATTTAACAGATGTAAAGTTTTGATCCAGTTCTCTAATTAGGTTTTTATATTTAGCTTTCTTGCGGTTAACATTGTTTGTGAGGTTTGATTCAAAGCCTACGGTAAGTTCAACAACGTAGAGGTGTTTGTCTGAAGTGGAGACAAGTAAATCAGGACGATATTCATCTCCCGTAATAATCGAGGGGCTTTCAAATCCAGGAAGATCAAGATGTAATTTGCATTCGTTTAAACTTTGAAAAGTTTTTGCAAGAAAGTTTAGTTAATATTAATAATAATAATAATTTATTTATTCATTTGTCACACACATTAAAGATATACATTTACGTAGAGATAACAATAACAATAACTAGAAAATGCTGTGACAGGAGAAGGAAACAGAAACTAAATTCCAATTGAGATTCGACCCCTTAACAATTAATGGATGACGAGACGTACTAGGACAATTATGCACGAACATATCACAGATTACATGCAACTTAACAACTGTACAACGAATTTTAGCACAAAATTATCTATGGTGGTATGTAGGTAAACAGTTTGGCTTTGTAATAAGATTGTAGATGGTGCTTGAAGATCTGTAGGGAATGGGCGGCTTTGATGTTTGGTGGTAGATTTTTCCAGAGGATGAAGGTGCGTGGGAAATAGGATTGTCGGAAGAATTCTTATGCCAGAAGTATAAAGGGTCAGTGTGCAATAGGCAATTTTCTGTCATGAATGAGTCATTACAGTATGGTACATGCAAAATTGTTTATGGGCCGGTAATAATGCAGGGGGAGGGCTGTGGCCGGACCCATTGACCTGCAGTTTCTCCTAATATGCTCTACCTGTATTGTTAAATTAATTTACTACCAAAAAAATGTTACCTATCTTTCCACGCTCCATAGAGTACTGAGACCAAAAAAAGAAATACTTGGGTTATTAGCATTTCCTTATATTCTGTTCTCAATTGTCTTTTCCTTTATTCTGTTGTTGCCCTATGTTGTGTGTTTATGTACGAAATTGTCGACGGGGTCATTTGACCAATTCGCCTGGCAGTGTTTTCCACCATTAAGCAAGCCACAAAGGCAACGGTATTTTGAAAACAAAGTACTTTTGTGTTTATGTTTTAATATAAGGAACTGTTTGTTTTGATGTTAGGTACTTGTAATATAAGAACGTTATGTACCGCTTGTGTTAAGGAACTTCGGTCATTTTGTTCCTACAGTTAAGGAACATTTGAATGAGAACAATCTGTTCATCACTTTATATAAAGGAACTTCAGTCACTTGTTCCTTTATATTAAGGAACGGTTCAATAAGAACAATCTGTTCACTTTACGTATAGGAACTTCAGTCACTTGTTCCTTTATATTAAGGAACGGTTGAATGAGAACGATCTGTTCACTTTACGAATAGGAACTTTAGTCACTTGTTCCTTTATATTAAGGAACGGTTGAACGAGAACAATCTGTTCACTTTATATAAAGGAACTTCAGTCACTTGTTCCTTTATATTGAAGGAACGGTTGAATGACAACGACGAATTAATTTACTTTATATAAACGAACGAATAGTTCGCTTGATATTGTTTAACAATGTCGTTCGAACTGTTTCATGTCATCAGAACAATTGAATGAGAATAATCGGTTCCCTTAATTTTTAGGATCTGCTTTGGAATAGGAACGGTTTGTTTCGTAAATATCGGATCGCCTCGGAGACCGAATCGTTGTAATGAAAAAAGGGAAATCCCCCTTTCGCAATTATATGTTGCGACATCAGCAGCAATCGTTCCGATTGAAAGCTCACAACTTTGTATAGTTTAATTAGTTGATAATTTAAATAATATTTATTCGCCCAATATCAATTTGTCTAACATTCAGAGCTAAACGCAGCTATAGGGTTTTCATAAATGCACAAGATAATATCCTGACCTATTATACACATACTCTTTTCACATAAATATAGATGCTTGTACAAATACGTATATTGCAAAATGTTTAGTGGGTATATGCATGCTTGCATCTGCTCTTTTGTATTACAAATAGAAGTTTTTGATCGATATAAAGACAGTGATTGTTTAATTTGCAGAAAGCTTGCCTAGAAGTATTTTCACGAAATTTCCCCCCTGATTTATGTTGTCTCATAACTTATATTTTCATGCACACAATATGTCGCTAGTGTCATATAAGTGCGCACAATGTTTTTAATAGAAGAACACATTCAAATACACTCAAGCTGTTGAATTTTTTTTCTTACACAGTTTTGTTAACAATAATAAGTTTATATAATTTTAACAACTATACAGTTCGAGTCTATATTAATTTAAGTGTTGTCGCACGCATTCGTAATGTTGTCGGTGCTCTGGATTGTTCAAATTTGTACAGCGGGCAGTTTAAAATTGCAGTCCAGCGCATACCAAACTTTACTATCCCTTTTCTTAGATAATTGTCCTCCCCTTGTGTAAACCTGACTTTAACCCTGCTTTTTCGTTGCGTTTCATCGTTGTTTTCAATCTCCCCTTCGCTTGTATGAGATGACGCCGTCTCACCATCGCCTTCGGTTTCCATGTCTTTCACTTCAATTCCCACGTTGGAATCTTGCTGTCTCAATTGCTGTACGCAAATGTCCATTGCTCTGCCATGGTCCCCGCGCAGTTTTTCCGTGCATGATCGTCCCTTTAACGCTACTTCCCGAGACCGCAGCTTCTGATAGTGAACTCTCGCCACGTTTGAGCTATGTTTTTGGTCCTCGGATACCAATTGTTGTTCTTCCAAATCTAAATTGTTTACGCTCTCCGTTTCGATAATCTGCCTGTACCTCGTCGGGTGAATGTACTTGGCTATCGCTTCAAACACGAGAACGCTAAGTAACTCAGTGAGCTTCTGAAATTGACTACCGCTTCGATTTACTAGCAAATATCCACATTGTGGTTTCAGCAGGGGTCGCACGTATTGAACGTAATCATTGACAATTACCAAGCTCATCTCGTCGAAGTAAAGAGAATTCAACCCATATCTTTGTGCCGTTTTAAAAATGGTTTGATCGACCACTCCAGCGTTTGTTTTTGCGCTTTCAAACATACAGAGTGAAAGGATGCCGACCGATGACCTACCAGCATTTGACAGTCCGTCAAATGCTGGTAGGTCATCGGTCGGCATCCTTTCACTCTGACAAACATAAAGACGGCAACAAATCTTGTAGCAAAAGTCAAGTCGCTTGAAGTGACAAAAGATTTTTTCCTGTACTCTTCTAGAATTGTTTTGTAGCGTTGTAAATGAAAAGGAATTTCTGTCTGAAGTTCAGCAAGCGTAGCCCAACTTCTTTTCGATTCGAGGCTTGCAATATCTAAGTCTGTCGTCCAGTGAGAACGCATCTGCTTTGCTAAGCATTGCCTTGCACGTTTTATGTATACTTCGGTAATGGAAAAAATTTGAAGTACGGGCCCTGAAGGTGCATGGAATCGACGGAAATCTAAGAGGTCAGCGATACTGTTTACGTAGCCGAGTCGACCCGATTGACCCATTTGCCAGGTGCTTTCGAGGTGATCAAGAAAATCTGTTAGAAATTTGGAAGAACACAAAAAGTAATCCACAAGTTGGACATTCGACGACAGGTTTTGTTCATCCTCGCCCGATTGTTCACAACAATACTTTAAGAATTTAAATGCTCGAGTTACCGAGATTTCAGCATGTTTCCCTTGCCTTCCGCCACCGGTCGTGCTTTGTAGCCATGAAGAAAATAATCGTGCCAATTGTGAATTTGTAGCACAACACGGCAGCGTTGGTTTGCTTTCCGACGAACAGGACTGATTCACATCAAGTTTTCGTTAGCTCTCTGCAGAAATTATGGGCCTCGTGTCAAAATATATATACCACGGATGTTTTGTTTTGACGTGCTTTCGACAGCCTCGTTGACTCGCGAAACCATTATGTTCGCAGCCAAGTGCGGGGCAATGGAAAAGACCTTCTTTATCATTTTCTAAGTGAAGTCTTCGAGGTTTACTAAATGCCCCTTCAACAGTTTTCCAGTCGACGTGAATACGTTGACGAGGCATGCCAATCGTCGGGAAGCAAACAGTTAGCATCGGACAGATTTTCTGTAATTAACATAATGCAAATGCACGATCAATTCTCTGGAGTGTCATGCATATAGCATGCAGTGAAATACGTTAGCATAATACTAAAGATAACAGCTAATATTTTATTTTAAGTCAATTATGTTCGTCTTAACAAAAACCTTCTATACTTTTTATTCAAGCAAGTAAGCTTCATGCAGACGCCAGGCAAATTTCAATAGCGCCGGGCTAATTTCAATAGAAGCCGGGCTAATTTCAATAGAGGACGGGCTAAATTCAATGAAAGCCGGGCTAATTTCAATAGCATCTTCAGGAGAGCATGATATAATTTCTCAAGTTTAACGATTGCAATTTTTACTTGAAGTATATCTAATCAACTCTAAAGCACGAATTATAGAACGTTTGAAATAATTGTGCAAGATTTTGTAAGTTCAAGCCCAACTATTGCTTATATCTTTGCTCGCCTTTTAATAAAATTATGTCAGTTTAGCATTTGCCTATACTTTTTTACGAAACGGGCTAACTTTAAAAGAAGCCGGGCTAATTTCAATAGACGGCGGGCTAATTTCAATAGAAGCCGGTCTAATTTCAATAGAGAACGGGCTAATTTCAATGGAAGCCGGGCTAATTTCAATAGCATCTTCAGGAGAGCATGATGTAATTTCTCAAGTTTAACGATTGCAATTTTTACTTGAAGTATATCTAATAAACTCTAACGCACGAATTATAGAACGTTTGAAATAAGTGTGCCAGGTTTTGTAAGTTCAAGCCCAACTATGGCTTATATCTTTGCTCGCCTTTCTCGACAACCGGTTTCGTATTACATTTCGATACAATTTTTCTAATATAAATATCTCCGCGAGTATTTACCCCCCTTTTACATAAATGCCACCATTGAAATCCTCATAAAATAACCTTTCGAACGGGGGGTCAAGTGCCGTCAAAACATTACACAAAGCGAAACAATCATATATTTACTCACCGCTTGGCCAAAGATTCTAAATTTCATATCCACAAGATCTTGAATACCCCTTGAACTTTTCGTCATTTGCTGAACGGCTATACGTGTTAAATACTCTCTGTATTCAAGCGCTTTCGTGTAGAAAGTTTCGGATGTATACGCCGACTAGAAATATTTATTTTGAATTTTTCAAGTGTCGAGTTTTACTCGCACTTGCGTACATTGCGCAATAATTAGCCAATAAGAAGCTCCTTTGGCCGGGATGACGTCAAACTCACGCGTGTAGGTGCAATTTGACCTTGCGAATCAATTTCTGGCCTTTCCAGGGTCACACGATACAAACGCCGCATTGTTTTGACGGTTTTCAGTCGTATTTCCGGTTGGGATTAATTCACTTCGAGCTCACAGTCGGACAAGAAATGGAAATATATTGATAAAAGATACAGATTTGTAGATTCAGGGTTGCAAATAACACTCCAAAAACACTATTTAATGGGGATTCGAAAAAGACTATTACAAAGACGATATGTTCGATGGGGCCGAAGTTATTTTTGGCGAAAGGTATGGCTAGTCTATAATAATCTGTATTTTTGTTCAGACAATTGCGTAATTTGATACAATATGATCGTTTTGACTTTCAAAGGCCCATAAATCGTTACAATACTAATAATGACTATAACTATCGTTTGGAACTAGTTGATATTTTATTTCTGAATCGAATGGTGGTATTTCTGTCTTCATAGCATGCAATGAACCGAAAGTATGAAATTTCGTGCCGTCGATCGCTCGCGGTCGACGATACTGGACAATAAAATTATGTCAGTTGAGCATTTGCCTATACTTTTTTACGAAACGGGCTAACTTTAAAAGAAGCCGGGCTAATTTCAATAGACGTCGGGCTAATTTCAATGGAAGCCGGGCTAATTTCAATAGAGAACGGGCTAATTTCAATGGAAGCCGGGCTAATTTCAATAGAGAACGGGCTAATTTCAATGGAAGCCGGGCTAATTTCAATAGAATGTTCAGGAGAGCATGATGTAATTTCTCAACGGTTTAACGATTGCAATTTTTACTTGAAGTATATCTAATAACCTCTAAAGCACGAATTATAGAACGTTTGAAATAAGTGTGCATGGTTTTGTAAGTTCAAGCCAAACTATTGCTTATATTTTTGCTTGCCTTTTAATAAAATTATGCCTGTTTAGCATTTGCCTATACTTTTTTACGAAACGGGCTAACTTTAAAAGAAGCCGGGCTAATTTCAATAGTAGACGCCGGGCTAATTTCAATGGAAGCCGGGCTAATTTCAATAGAGGACGGGCTAATTTCAATGGAAGCCGGGCTAATTTCAATAGAATCTTCAGGAGAGCAAGATGTAATTTCTCAAGTTTAACGATTGCAATTTTTACTTGAAGTATATCTAATAACCTCTAAAGCACGAATTATAGAACGTTTGAAATAAGTGTGCAAGGTTTTGTAAGCTCAAGCCCAACTATTGCTTAAATTTTTTATTGCCTTTTAATAAAATTATGTCAGTTTAGCATTTGCCTATACTTTTTTACGAAACGGGCTAACTTTAAAAGAAGCCGGGCTAATTTCAATAGACGCCGGGCTAATTTCAATGGAAGCCGGGCTAATTTCAATAGAGAACGGGCTAATTTCAATGGAAGTTAGTGTCGAGATTCGCCCCCTTAGAGATTCGCCCCCAGGTATATTCCTCAGATATTCGACTCTCAAGAATCTCCCAGGAATATTGCCCCTTTTAGAATTTCCCCCCACCCCATATAAATTTTGAATTTTTGATCTAAAAACAAAACGATTGCAAGTTGATAAGATTTATTGTGTGATTTATTTATTTATTTATTACAAGGAGACAAAATTACATACACATTTTAGGCTTCTTAGCAGCTGGTGGTGTGCACAGTCTGCATAACCACTCATTTGAGGTACTTAGACTAGTGTCATATTCTACACATCTAAAGTGGAACCATCACAGAGATCGCATCAAATCATGTTGTCGTATTCTTCTGGCAGTTTACATTCACATAACATATTATAAAAACAATCGCTTGCAAATTTTATCAATACGAGTGTTAACAATAGCCGCCACAGTAATCACTTGCTAGCAATAAACTATAGGATTAGTAAAAAATCTATGGAATGTGTTGGGAAGCGTATTGACTATTGTCCGTTGAATCGTCAACTTTCCGTGTCAGTGATGTAATCTTGATTCTTCACTTCCGCAAAGAAAATTGCATTATACCTGTATATGTGGTGAGGTTTATTCAAATAATTTCATGATACTTTGATTTTATTAGTGCATGCTTTAAACATTTGAGAATGTAACTCTGCAAAACTAAAAGCTTTCTTGTCTTTTTTGAAACGTATACCTGTATTATTGGATTATTGCCTATTGGCAAGTTCTACCCTTCGCTTCTGAGATTTACAAACTATATTGAAATAATGCAAGTAAAAAATAGTGACAAACCATACATTTTCCGATAACGACAAAACGTGGATGCAAAACAATACCAATAATTACAATAACCACCACGGTGATTACTTTTTAACAATGAGTTTAAGGATTAACACTGAAAATGAAAAATATGCATGGTGTGCTGTGAAGCGTCATAAGTCCTATTGATCTACTGTAACTGTGTAAGCCCTTTCGATACATGTAATTGTAAATTTGTATTCTTACATGCAGGGCTTGAAATAATAAACGTTCCCAAAGTTCACGATCATGGTGATCGGCAGTCATGACTTTCCCTGCTTTTTTCAGGTTGGAAACCAAAACCCTGCTTTTCCGCCGATCATAAGCAATTCCTTGCCGATCATTGATCGGTGATCGGTTGTTATTTCAAGCTCTGTCTTAACAATGATTAAAGCCATGTAATAATTATCCCATGCAACTGTTAGGAAGGGCGAAATATTGAACGGAGGACGAAAAACCTAAAGAAAAGGTGAAGTTTCTAAAGGGGGGCGAATTTCCTAAAGGGGGGCGAAATTCCTAGGATTTTCGCCCCCCTGGGGGGGCGAAAATCCTGGGACACCGGGCTAATTTCAATAGAATCTTCAGGAGAGCATGATGTAATTTCTCAAGTTTAACGATTGCAATTTTTACTTTAAGTATATCTTTGCTTGCCTTTTAATAAAATTATGTCAGTTTAGCATTTGCCTATACTTTTTTTACGAAACGGGCTAACTTTAAAAGAAGCCGGGCTAATTTCAATTGATACCGCGCTCATTTCAATGGAGCCAGGCTAATTTCAATAGAGGACGGGCTAATTTCAATGGAAACCGGGCTAATTTCAATAGAATCTTCAGGAGAGCATGATGTATATTTGGAAGTTACATGATATATTGCAATTTTTACTTCAAGTATCTAATAACCTTTAAAGCACGAATTACAGCACAAATTACAGCGTTTGTAATGATTTTATTAAAAGGCAATAAAAAATATAAGCAATAGGTGGGCTTGAACTTACAAAACCTTGCACACTATTTTCAAACGTTTTATAATTCGTGCTTTAGAGGTTATTAGATATACTTCAAGTAAAAATTGCAATCGTTAAACTTGAGTAATTACATCATGCTCTCCTGAAGATTATATTGAAATTAGCCCGGCTTCCATTGAAATTAGCCCGTCCTCTATTGAAATTAGCCCGGCTTCCATTGAAATTAGCCCGTCGTCTATTCAAATTAGCCCGGCTTCTTTTAAAGTTAGCCCGTTTCGTAAAAAAGTATATGCAAATGCTAAACTGACATAATTTTATTAAAAGGCAATAAAAAATATAAGCAATAGTTGGGCTTGAACTTACAAAACCGTGCATACTTATTTCAAACGTTCTATAATTCGTGCTTTAGAGGTTATTAGATATACTTCAAGTAAAAATTGCAATCGTTAAACTTGAGTAATTACATCATGCTCTCCTGAAGAATCTATTGAAATTAGCCCGGCTTCCATTGAAATTAGCCCGGCGTCTATTGAAATTAGCCCGGCTTCTTTTAAAGTTAGCCCGTTTTGTAAAAAAGTATTGGCAAATGCTAAACTGACATAATTTTATTAAAAGGCAAGCAAAAATAAAAGCAATAGTTGGGCTTGAACTTACAAAACCATGCACACTTATTTCAAACGTTCTATAATTCGTGCTTTAAAGGTTATTAGATATACTTCAAGTAAAAATTGCAATCGTTAAACTTGAGAAAATACATCATGCTCTCCTGAAGATTCTGTTGAAATTAGCCCGGCTTCCATTGAAATTAGCCCGTCCTCTATTGAAATTAGCCCGGCTTCCATTGAAATTAGCCCGGCGTCTATTGAAATTAGCCCGGCTTCTTTTAAAGTTAGCCCGTTTCGTAAAAAAGTATAGGCAAATGCTAAACTGACATAATTTTATTAAAAGGCGAGCAAAAAGGTAAGGAATAGTTTGGCTTGAACTTACAGAACCTGGCAAACGCTGTAATTCGTGCTTTAGAGGTTATTGGATATAATTCTTGTAAAAATTGCAGTCGTTTAACTTGAAATATTAATACCGCATGATTAATCTATTGAAATTAGTCCGGCTTCTTTTAAAGTTAGTCCGTCGCGTAAATAAGTAAGGCCAATGCTAAACTGACATAATTTTATTAAAAGGCGAGCAAAAAGGTAAGCAATATTTGGGCTTGAACTTACAAAACATTACACACTTATTTCAAACGTTCCATAATTCTCTTCGTGCTTTAAAGTTTATTAGATATACTTCAAGTAAAAATTGCAATCGTTTAACTTGAAAATATACATCATGCTCTCGTGAAGATTCTATTGAAATTAGCCCGGCTTCCATCGAAATTAGCCCGGCGTCTATTGAAATTAGCCCGGCTTCTTTTAAAGCTAGCCCGTTTCGTAAAAAAGTTAGGCAAATGCTTAACTGACATAATTTTATTAAGAGGCAAGCAAAAAGGTAAGCAATATAGTTGGGCTTGAACTTACAGTACCTGGCAAACGCTGTAATTCGTGCATTAGAGGTTATTGGATATAATTCTTGTAAAAATTGCAGTCGTTTAACTTGAAATATTAATACCGCATGATTAATCTATTGAAATTAGTCCGGCTTCTTTTAAAGTTAGTCCGTCGCGTAAATAAGTAAGGCCAATGCTAAACTAAAGCCGGTATTTTAAGGGTATCCTTCTTTGCGAACCAGAGCAGGAAAACGACTGCAGCTATGTCTTTTATATACGATTATACTATTGAATACACGCACACATTATTAGTACTCATGCGCGTTAAAAGAGAACAAAAGTATTCTACTTTGGTTATTAGTATTTCCTTATATTCTGTTCTCAATTGTCTTTTCCTTTATTCAGTTGTTGCCCTATGTTGTGTGTTTGTGTACGAAATTGTCGACGGGGTCATTTGACCAATTCGCCTGGCAGTGTTTTGCACCATTAAGCAAGCCACAAAGGCAACGGTATTTTGAAAACAAAGTACTTTTGTGTTTATGTTTTAATATAAGGAACTGTTTGTTTTGATGTTAGGTACTTGTAATATAAGAACGTTATGTACCGCTTGTGTTAAGGAACTTCGGTCATTTTGTTCCTACAGTTAAGGAACATTTGAATGAGAACAATCTGTTCACTTTATATAAAGGAACTTCAGTCCGTTGTTCCTTTATATTAAGGAACGGTTGAATGAGAACGACGAGTTAATTTACTTTATATAAACGAACGAATAGTCCGCTTGATATTGTTCAACAATGTCGTTTGATCCGTTTCATGTCATCACACAATTGAATAAGAATCATCGGTTCCCTTAATTTTTAGGATCTTCTTTGGAATAGGATCGGTTTGTTCCGTAAATATCGGATCGCCTCGGAGACCGAATCGTTGTAATGAAAAAAGGGAAATCCCCCTTTCACAATTATATGTTGCGACATCAGCAACAATCGTTCCGATCGAGAGCACACAACTTAATCGTATAGTTTAATTACCGTATTTACTCGATTGAGCGCCGTCCTCGTTTGAGCGCCGCCCCCGAATGAGCGCCGCATTTGAGATCAGATTTTTTTAAAGAGCGCAGCCCCCGAATGAGCGCCGCGCTAAACAGTGTAATAATTTTCCACCATCAAAATGGGGACATTTAGTGACAAAGACATTCAAAACTTGTTTATTTTATTGTTAAAAGTTCTTGATATAATTCACAAATAAAAGATTTTTTTAAAGAGCGCCGCCCCCGATTGAGCGCCGCCCCCGAATGAGCGCCGCATCTGAAGCTTTGAAAATTTAAAGAGCGCCGCGGCGCTCAAACGAGTAAATACGGTAGTTGATAATTTAAATAATATTTATTCGCGCTATATCAATTTGTCTAACATTCAGAGCTAAACGCGGCTATAGGGTTTTCATAAATGCACAAGATAATATCCTGACATATTATACACATACTCTTATTACATAAATATAGATGCTTGTACAAATACGTATATTGCAAAATATTTAGTGGGTACATGCATGCATTTGCTCTTTTGTATTACAAATAGAAGTTTTTGATCAATATAAAGACAGTGTTTGTTTAATTTGCAGAAAGCTTGCCTAGAAGTATTTTCATGACATTTTCCCCCTGATTTATGTTGTCTCACAACTTATATTTTCCACACAATCGGTGTCATATAAGTGCGCACAATGTTTTTAATAGAAGAACACATTCAAATACACTCAAGCTGTTGATTTTTTTTTCATACACAGTTTTGTTAACAATAATAAGTTTATATAATTTTAACAACTACAGTTCGAGTGTATATTAATTTAAGTGTTTTCGCACGCATTCGTCTGCCTCGTCCCCAGGCGCTAATTAAAAAATTTGCGAATCACTATATAAAAGGTTTACATGAAGTAGTGCGTCACATTATAGGCGCGCGCAAAGGACAGTGGGATATGAGCGTTCTGGGTAGCGCCTGGCCGATCTTGTATAATAGCTGTCGAACATACAAGTAAACAACAGATCTAAATATAAATCCCTTCATGTATATCACCAGAAAGAAATAAAGCTATCCTTACCTGAATTATTCAAAATATTGCCGATCGTTTGCATTGTGAAAATCAAACATACTGCATGTAAATAAGCTTGTAACTGAAATCCTGAGACGAATCTTGCAAATACAATTCAAAATAAAGTTTCATCGCTCCCTTGTTTAAAAAACGTCTTGTAGCTGTATATTTTTAAAATAAATTGCTCATCGTGATAAAAATACATTGTCATTTTTCCATACCTTGTAAATTTATTATATAAACCGGCTTCTACAGCCCCGTAGAACTCTTCAAGTGTTGACATCTCGGAATCATTCAAAGCGTTAAAAGATATCAAATATCATCTGACTGTAATCACATGTTTAATTGAACAATTTGAAATGTTGTTTCCTCAAAAAAAATGGCGAAAAAAGCCTCCAAACTGTCGAAAAACCACGATTTGCAAGAAACAGACGAATTTTGCAAGAAACGGCACAAGATCTCCCAGGCGCTCCTCAATTTTCGGTGCCTCAAGCCCATAACTCCCTGCGCTTGCTCGTCATGATGCACTACTTCATGTAAACCTTTCATATAGTGACTCGCATGAAATTTTTTATTAGCGCCTGGGGACGAGGCAGCGCATTCGTAATGTTGTCGGTGCTCTGGATTGTTCAAACTTGTACAGCGGGCAGTTTAAAATTGTAGTCCAGCGCATACCAAACTTTACTATCCCTTTTCTAAGATAATTGTCCTCCTCTTGTGTAAAACTGACTTTAACCCTGCTTTTTCGTAGCATTTCATCGTTGTTTTCAATCTCCCCTTCGCTTGAATGAGATGACGCCTTCTCACCATCGCCTTCGGTTTCCATGTCTTTCACTTCAATTCCCACGTTGGAATCTTGCTGTCTCAATTGCTGTACGCAAATGTCCATTGCTCTGCCATGGTCTCCGCGCAGTTTTTCCATGGATGATCGTCCCTTTAACGCTACTTCCCGAGACCGCAGCTTCTGATAGTGAACTCTCGCCACGCTTGAGCTATGTTTTTGGTCCTCGGATACCAATTGTTGTTCTTCCAAATCTAAATTGTTTACGCTCTCCGTTTCAATAATCTGCCTGTACCTCGTCGGGTGAATGTACTTGCCTATCGCTTCAAACACGAAAACGCTAAGTAACTCAGTGAGCTTCTGAAATTGACTACCGCTTCGATTTACTAGCAAATATTCACATTGTGGTTTCAGCAGGGGTCGCACGTATTGAACGTAATCATTGACAATTACCAAGCTCATCTCGTCGAAGTAAAGAGAATTGAACCCATATCTTTGCGCCGTTTTAAAAATGGTTTGATCGACCATTCCAGCGTTTGTCTTTGCGCTTTCAAACATACGGACTGTCAAATGCTGGTAGGTCATCGGTCGGCATCCTTTCACTCTGACAAACATAAAGACGGCAACAAATCTTGTAGCAAAAGTCAAGTCGCTTGAAGTGACAAAAGATTTTTTCCTGTACTCTTCTAAGATTGTTTTGTAGCGTTGTAAATGAAAGGGAATTACTGTCTGAAGTTCGGCAAGCGTAGCCCAACTTCTTTTCGATTCGAGACTTGCAATATCTAAGTCTGTCGTCCAGTGAGAACGCATCTGCTTTGCTAAGCATTGCCTTGCACGTTTTATGTATACTTCGGTAATGGAAAAAATTTGAAGTACGGGCCCTGAAGGTGCATGGAATCGACGGAAATCTAAGAGGTCAGCGATACTGTTTACGTAGCCGAGTCGACCAGATTGACCCATTTGCCAGGTGCTTTCGAGGTGATCAAGAAAATCTGTTAGAAATTTGGAAGAACACAAAAAGTAATCCACAAGTTGGACATTCGACGACAGGTTTTGTTCATCCTCGCCCGATTGTTCACAACAATACTTCAAGAATTTAAATGCTCGAGTTACCGAGATTTCAGCATGTTTCCCTTGCCTTCCGCCACCGGTCGTGCTTTGTAGCCATGAAGAAAATAATCGTGCCAATTGTGAATTTGTAGCACAACACGGCAGCGTTGGTTTGCTTTCCGACGAACAGGACTGATTCACATCAAGTTTTCGTTAGCTCTCTGCAGAAATTATGGGCCTCGTGTCAAAATATATATACCATGGATGTTTTGTTTTGACGTGCTTTCGACAGCCTCGTTGACTCGCGAAACCATTATGTTCGCAGCCAAGTGCGGGGCAATGGAAAAGACCTTCTTTATCATTTTCTAAGTGAAGTCTTCGAGGTTTACTAAATGCCCCTTCAACAGTTTTCCAGTCGACGTGAATACGTTGACGAGGCATGCCAATCGTCGGGAAGCAAACAGTTAGCATCGGACAGATTTTCTGTAATTAACATAATGCAAATGCACGATCAATTCTCTGGAGTGTCATGCATATAGCATGCAGTGAAATACATTAGCATAATACTAAAGATAACAGCTAATATTTTATTTTAAGTCAATTATGTTCGTCTTAACAAAAACCTTCTATACTTTTTATTCAAGCAAGTAAGCTTCATGCAGACGCCAGGCAAATTTCAATAGCGCCGGGCTAATTTCAATAGAAGCCGGGCTAATTTCAATAGAGGACGGGCTAAATTCAATGAAAGCCGGGCTAATTTCAATAGCATCTTCAGGAGAGCATGATATAATTTCTCAAGTTTAACGATTGCAATTTTTACTTGAAGTATATCTAATCAACTCTAAAGCACGAATTATAGAACGTTTGAAATAATTGTGCAAGATTTTGTAAGTTCAAGCCCAACTATTGCTTATATCTTTGCTCGCCTTTTAATAAAATTATGTCAGTTTAGCATTTGCCTATACTTTTTTACGAAACGGGCTAACTTTAAAAGAAGCCGGGCTAATTTCAATAGACGGCGGGCTAATTTCAATAGAAGCCGGTCTAATTTCAATAGAGAACGGGCTAATTTCAATGGAAGCCGGGCTAATTTCAATAGCATCTTCAGGAGAGCATGATGTAATTTCTCAAGTTTAACGATTGCAATTTTTACTTGAAGTATATCTAATAAACTCTAACGCACGAATTATAGAACGTTTGAAATAAGTGTGCCAGGTTTTGTAAGTTCAAGCCCAACTATGGCTTATATCTTTGCTCGCCTTTTAATAAAACTATGTCAGTTGAGCATTTGCCTATACTTTTTTACGAAACGGGCTAACTTTAAAAGAAGCCGGGCAAATTTCAATAGACGACGGGCTAATTTCAATGGAAGCCGGGCTAATTTCAATAGAGAACGGGCTAATTTCAATGGAAGCCGGGCTAATTTCAATAGAATGTTCAGGAGAGCATGATGTAATTTCTCAAGTTTAACGATTGCAATTTTTACTTGAAGTATATCTACTGATAACCTTTAAAGCACGAATTATAGAACGTTTGAACTTAGTGTGCAAGGTTTTGTAAGTTCAAGCCCAACTATTGCTTATATCTTTGCTCGCCTTTTAATAAAATTATGTCAGTTTAGCATTTGCCTATACTTTTTACGAAACGCGCTAACTTTAAAAAGAAGCCGGGCTAATTTCAATAGACGCCGGGCTAATTTCAATGGAAGCCGGGCTAATTTCAATAGAGGACGGGCTAATTTCAATGGAAGCCGAGCTAATTTCAATAGAATCTTCAGGAGAGCTTGATGTAATTTTTCAAGTTAAACGATTGCAATTTTTACTTGTAGTAAATCTAATAACCTTTAAAGCACGAATTATAGAACGTTTGAACTAAGTGTGCAAGGTTTTGTAAGTTCAAGCCCAACTATTGCTTATATATTTGCTTGCCTTTTAATAAAATTATGTCAGTTTAGCATTTGCCTATACTTTTTTTACGAAACGGGTTAACTTTAAAAAGAAGCCGGGCTAATTTCAATAGACGCCGGGCTAATTTCAATGGAAGCCGGGCTAATTTCAATAGAGGACGGGCTAATTTCAATGGAAGCCGGGCTAATTTCAATAGAATCTTCAGGAGAGCTTGATGTAATTTTTCAAGTTAAACGATTGCAATTTTTACTTGTAGTAAATCTAATAACCTTTAAAGCACGAATTATAGAACGTTTGAAATAAGTGTGTAAGGTTTTCTAAGTTCAAGCCCAACTATTGCTTATATTTTTGCTTGCCTTTTAATAAAATTATGTCAGTTTAGCATTTGCCTATATACTTTTTTACGAAACGGCCTAACTTTAAAAGAAGCAGGGCTAATTTCAATAGACGCCGGGATAATTTCAATGGAAGCCGGGCTAATTTCAATAGCATCTTCAGGAGAGCATGATGTAATTTTTCAAGTTAAACGATTGCAATTTTTACTTGAAGTATATCTAATAACCTTTAAAGCACGATTTATAGAACGTTTGAAATAAGTGTGCAAGGTTTTGTAAGTTCAAGCCCAACTATTGCTTATATTTTTGCTTGCCTTTTAATAAAATTATGTCAGTTTAGCATTTGCCTATCCTTTTTTACGAAACGGGCTAACTTTAAAAGAAGCCGGGCTAATTTCAATAAACGCCGGGCTAATTTCAATGGAAGCCGGGCTAATTTCAATAGACGCCGGGCTAATTTCAATGGAAGCCGGGTTAATTTCAATAGAGGACGGGCTAATTTCAATGGAAGCCGGGCTAATTTCAATAGATTCTTCAGCAGAGCATATGCAATTTCTCAAGTTTAACGATTGCAATTTTTACATTAAGTATATGTAATAATCTCTGAAGCTCGAAATACAGCACAAATTACAGCGTTTGTAATAATTTTATTAAAAGGCAATAAAAAATATAAGCAACAGTTGGGCTTGAACTTACAAAATCTTACACACTTATTTCAAGCGTTCTATAATTCGAGCTTTGGAGATTATTTGATATACTTCATGTAAAAATTGCAATCGTTAATCTTGAGAATTTACATCATGCTCTCCTGAAGATTCTATTGAAATTAGCCCGGCTTCCATTGAAATTAGCCCGTTCTCTATTGAAATTAACCGGGCTTCCATTGAAATTATCCCGGCGTCTATTGAAATTAGCCCGGCTTCTTTTAAAGTTAGCCCGTTTCGTAAAAAAAGTATAGGCAAATGCTAAACTGACATAATTTTATTAAAACGCAAGCAAAAATATAAGCAATAGTTGGGCTTGAACTTACAAAACCTTGCACACTTATTTCAAACGTTAATTCTATAATTCGTGCTTTAATGGTTATTAGATATACTTCAAGTAAAAATTGCAATCGTTAAACTTGAAAAATTACATCATGCTCTCCTGAAGATTCTATTGAAATTAGCCCGGCTTCCATTGAAATTAGCCCGTCCTCTATTGAAATTAGCCCGGCTTCCATTGAAATTAGCCAGGCGTTTATTGAATTTAGCGCGGCTTCTTTTAAAGTTAGCCCGTTTCGTAAAAGAGTGTAGGCAAAATAATGCTAAACTTACATAATTTCATTAAAAAGCAAGCAAAAAGATAAGCAATTGTTGGGCTTGAACTTACAAGACCTTACACACTTATTTCAAACGTTCCATAATTCGTGCTTTAATTAAAGGTTATTAGATATACTTCAAGTAAATATTGCAATCGTTGAACTTGAAAAATTGCATTACGCTCTCTTGCATGAAGAATCTATTGAAATTAGCCCTGCTTCCATTGAAATTAGCCCGTCCTCTATTGAAATTAGCCCGGCTTCCATTGAAATTATCCCGGCGTCTATTGAAATTAGCCCGTTTCGTAAAAAAGTTAGGCAAATGCTAAACTGACATAATTTTATTAAAAAGCAGGCAAAAAGGTAAGCAATATAGTTGGGCTTGAACTTATACAGAACCTGGCAAACGCTGTAATTCGTGCTTTAGAGGTTATTGGATATAATTCTTGTAAAAATTGCAGTCGTTTAACTTGAAATATTAATACCGCATGATTAATCTAATGAAATTAGTCCGGTTTCTTTTAAAGTTAATCCGTCGCGTAAATAAGTAAGGCCAATGCTAAGCTAAAGTAATTTTAAGGGTATCCTTCTTTGCGAACCAGATCAGGAAAACGACTGCAGCTATGTCTTTTATATACGATTATATACTATTGAATACACGCACACATAAAATTAGTACTCATGCGCGCTAAAAGAGAACAAAAAATATTCTCCTTTGGTTTCCTAGGTTGGGTTTTCTTTTTTTCTTGTAATTTTTCTTTCTAAATGTTCATGCATGAGAATGATATTTTACGTCAATTACGGCAGTAGAGATGACACAAATTTTTGTTAAATATTACACAGGTTATACTTTCTTTGTAGGTTTCCATGGCGATAAATAACAGATTAAAAATATATAAAAGATCGTAGGATTATAAATTTATATATACAATTTATATATAATTTACTGATCGCAATAATAATTCAAAGCGATCGATACCCTTATAAGATTCTAAGAAGTAGTTCTTAAGGGCAAACTTAAAAGAATTAACGCTAGATTTCTTCTTAATATCCTTCTGGAGATTGTTCCATATTTTAAAGCTGCTGATCGTTACAGATTTTCCTCCCTCAGTATAATTATATTTAGGACACACTAAATTGTATTCGCCAAGACGAGTTTGTCTACCATTAATTTCATTGTTTGTTTTAACTTTGTGTTTCCAGGAGATTCTACGATCACGTCATTCACCTCATCACACCATCTTAACATGGTTTTCTTAGAAATCGTTCGTGTATCACTCAGCTTGTCCAAGTTCTTCACTCTGTTGGTCAGTGTCTTGACAAAAACCTTCAGTCTGATATAATTTACCTTGATTTTGCCAAAGCTTTTGATGCTGTAGATCATCAAATACTTCTAAGGAAACTCAAGTCATATGGCGTTACAGGGCGTCTTCTCGACTGGTTTCGTGATTATTTAAGCGGACGTACCCAAAGAGTTGTTGTCAAAGGTGTCCCATCAAGCTGGGTTCCTGTTATCTCTGGCGTGCCACAAGGAAGTATCCTGGGTACGATACTTTTTGCTGTCTTCATAAACGATCTTCCGGAAGTAATATCCAATGGCTCTTCGGAAGCTATGTATGCTGATGATACAAAGTTCTTTAGAAACATCAACTCTACGACTGACTGTGATTGTCAAGAATCTTTATCCAACATCGACACGTGGAGCCATGATAATAACATCAAGTTCAACGCATTAAAATGTAAGGTTTTGAGCGTGACTCGAAAGAAATATCCCGTGACTTACAACTATCATCTGGGTTCATCTTCGTTGCTTCGTGTCCGGAAAGAAAAAGATCTCGGCATCATCGTGACAGACAATCTCTTGTGGAACTCGCATATTCAAATGATAACAGCTAAAGCTAACAAGATGCTTGGTCTCCTAAAGAGAACCTGTCCTTTATTGACGGAAACCAAAATCCGGCGTTCATTATACCTATCGCTTGTAAAGTCGAAGTTATGCTATGGTACTGAAATTTGGTCTCCATCCAATGTCTCCCTCAAAGTCAAGATCGAAAGAATACAACGACGCGCGACAAGATGGATCCTAAGATCAAGAATAGGTGAGATATCATACCAGGACATGCTGCCGCTGTGTTATGACAGAGAAATCCAAGACTTGGTCTTCTTCTATAAGGCACTATACGGTTACGTAGACTTAGACATAGGCAATTATGTTAGTTTTGTTAGTCATGATCGTTCTCGACTAACCTTAAATCCTAGTCTATTACTTCAAGTGCCGTTATGTAGAACAACTACGTTTAAAAACTCTTACTTTAATCGAACAGTTCATTTATGGAAAGTAGTGTGTAGAACTGCATCACCTAATAGCTTCGTGACATTATTTACTTTTAAGAACTTTCTTCGTCGGACTTATTCGTTTTTACGTAATTCAGTTTTTGACGTAGACATGCCATGTACCTGGTCTCTTGTTCGAGACTGTCCATGTCACAGAAACTAAATTAAATAATGTATAGTTCTTTGATTGAAGTAAAGTTCGTTTCGTGTACATGCCTAAGTCACACGTTTTCAAAACCAAGTTAGTTTTATTTTCCGTACAAATTTTCCAAAATCTTCATGCATTTTACGTATTTCGAGATCCTGTGGGTATGCGCAAATCGAGCTTTACCTCAACTATAATTTATAGTGTAATGTAATTTTTTATGTAAAGTTTGTAAGGGAGGTGCCTCGCATGGGCTTTTTCTGACCCGTTTGCACCTTTCCTTTTGGGAAACACCTATTTATCGTTATTGTTAGTATTCCCAATAAAGTTATAAAAGTAAAGTAAAAAAATTAATTGTGAATTGTATTCTATCGAACGTGAACGATACGTGTACATACGAAGAGTTTTAAAAACCTTTCACGTCATGCTTCTTGCGAAAGCAACCGTTCGTAAGCTTTCGCAAGCGTTTTGAGCAAAAGCTCTAAAATATTGGCAGTATTACCTGAAAATACAATAGCAGAATCTACTAAATTATCGTATAACATCGGAATTTTACCCCCAATATATATTTCTTCATCAAAACTTGACTACAAAACAGTAAAAACTTCCAGCTCAGTTTTCCCGCCATATTTACCCTTGCCATATAAGACAACGTCGCCATAGTAACCACAACAAACTCGTTACCAGCTCATTGCATCACACATCGATCGGCGCGCCTATAGCCGTTTCACCGCCCTCTTTCGCCCTCTATAGAAGCGCCCTGGTTTCACCGCCCTCTATATACCGCCATTTGCAATTGAGCGTGCACCGTGCATTTTTTTCGAGTTGTTTTAGCATTGAAATTAACATGTAACTATGGGCGGAGCGACGTGTTACTAAGGCGGCTCAAAATGTTTCTTTATCTACTATAAGCCGTGCGATTCGATTCGAATAACTCATATTGCTTCTGAACGATTCACAAACAACATTTTATATACGCAATTCTTCATAGATTACATGCTTGCCCAAGATCCGAACCACGTAAAGTTTTTCGATGAATCAGGGATCAGACAAACAAACTATCATTTTATATAGAATTGTACTAGTAGCGAACATAAATTGGTTAGTCAAAACATAATTTGGAACGTCGAATATTTACGCTAATGGGCACTTAGTAGACAAACAAAATTGGTTTTAAAGCGACCAAACTTAGTAACATGAAATCAACAACATTAAATATACAGTAGACACCACTATTAACCGACATAATAGTCAATACTAAAGTGACAAAAAGTTTATATTTCTAATTCCAAAGCAAAAATATTTTGCACTGGCACCTTCAGGTAAAGCGAAAAGTACAAGGTGTGTATTATTTCGCACAAATAAACTGTAAACAAAC